CTGATATAATCTTATTGAAGCTACTTATTTCAGATTGTCTTCTGATGACCCAGTCCTGGGGCAACTGGAGCTTGTTCAAAGTAAGGTCTCTGAACTTTAACCCATTGACCCAAAGGCCCCATTACGTTTCATACATTTCAGGGTTCACCTGGCACTGAAAATATTCCATGAGCTCAGAATGTTCCTAGTTGTTCAAAATAAACATCAGAGAAAGACAATAAGGACATTACCAGATATCCTTTGAAAATCCACTTTAATTGTCTGCAGGACATCTTTATTGCTTCTAGCCAAAAACAGATATTCTTATTCATCAGTAGTTTAGGTATTCGGCTGTAAAACCAGAGGTTGGGAATTGGATTCCGCAGTGTGCCTCCCTGACTGGGGTTGATGGTGAGCAAGCTTCCAGCACTGCAGTTCTAAAATGATGATTATGGTGATGGTGATGATGATTTATTGCAGCTACTGTATATTCCCTTTTGGGGCTTAAGGATCTGATTCTAGGTTTCCTCGGGTCCTTATCTGACATTCTAAACATTAAACTACAGTCACTATTAAGGTTAATTGATTGTGGAGGTAACTGTTCCCCCTCCCCCATGAATGAGACATATAGGATATGTCCACATGAGTCTTAGTTAACTTTGGATTCTAAAAAGCATTGGCAAGCATGCTTATTTCCATTGCAAGTGCCTCTCTTCTGTTTCCCCACCACCACAAAGATACAAGGTTAACATGAATAGCCAGGGATGCTTCAAAGGCCATTTGAAGGTTGAAACAAATTCCCTATTCACCTATAAGGTGAGGGGTGGGTGCCTTTCTTTAACCCTATGGCACTGGGTTGCAGAAAGTCCCACTTGCCCCATATCTCAGCCCATTGCCCCAAATATTTAGTTCCCTGCTCATTTCCTATATTGGAACTGGGAAAAGTAAAAAAAAAATGTTTTGATCCCTCTCCTTGTTTCTCTTCAGTTGGGGATTGAGTGTCATAGCAATTTAAACTTTGGATGTGGCTGCTGTCAATAACCATGCTGTGTTGCATCTGGAATAGCCTTCAGAGTTCAAACCAAGTTGATCTGATTAATGGAAGTGAATCAAGGCACAAGAGCAGGAGAGGCTGAAGGGTTAGCTTCTCTCTCCTTCTTTCAATATGCTCTGTTACTACGAGAGATAGGGCATTCATATTTGTCTCCTTGGGGAGAGGAATATGAATATCACCACCACAGGTACTGGGGACCTTTGGACCCACCCCCTAGAACCGGCTGGTCCACTTACCATTCGCCTTGCAACCTGTGGTGGTGATATTTGTATTTGTTTCCCCTGGGAGATGAATACAAATATCCCATCTTTAATTACTCCTTTCCCCTCGGAGATGAATACAAATATCCCATCTTTAATTACTCCTAAAATAATATAATGTTCCCACTTATATAATTATTTATATGTTTTTATGTGCTGTATTTATATCCTGCCTTTCCTTCAATGAGTTTGAGGAATCATACATATCTCTCCTCTTCCCCCCCCCTTTTATCTTTATGACAGTCTTGTGAGATAGATCAGGATAAGAGAGTGTGACTGACCCAAGGACAGCAATGAACTTGGTTGCCATCATCACATAGCTCTAAGCATCACATGTGAAAATCTGGTTACAGAACAGTTGTGTCTAAAAAGGATATCATAAATTGTTGCCACCTAGTGGTAATCAGAAGTAACTGTACTTCCTTTCTGTGTCAGGTGCAGTTCCTGTTGGCCTTGCCAACATAGCCTAGGCCCTAGTTCTTCATTTGGATTCGGCTTTAAAGGATTAATGAACCTCTCTGTATTTCTTGGAAGGAAATTTCAATTTTTACTTCCAAGGGAGCATGCTTAGGAAGGTATCCATAAAAGTGCTTGACTTATTAGGCTTATTCAGGCATGCCATTTGTACCTTTCAAAAAGATGCCATGAGGGGAAATGAAAATGGGCACACTCCCCCTTCCCTCCCCACCTAGTTATCATTCTCACAGCTGTCTCTCTTCTGAGAATGGTTATCTGCACTGAGGAATCCTTGCCTTTGTGAAGGCCGGTTATATTTGGTGAAACCTTGACTTTGCCGGCTTCTTAATCATCCATGGTGGCTGCACAGATATAGACAGCTCCTTGCTAGCAATGGTCCCTTCCACACGTAGAGCGTCACAATAAAGCAATGAGGAGTAGACCTATCCTGTTCTTCCTCTCCTTCTCACCTCGTGTGTTCATTAACAGCCACAGAACAGAACACTTGCGCAGAGTTTTTGGTCTTCAACATTTTTATTAATGACTTGGATGAGGAAGGCTTATCAAATTTGTGGATGGCACAAAATTGGGTGGAATAGCTAATACCCTGAAAGACAGTGAATGCTATTCAAAAATATCTTGATGGGCTTGAGCAAGCTATTCAAAAATATCTTGATAGGCTTGAGCACTGAGCTGAAAAGAATAACGAAAGTCAGCTGGGGTAAGTGCAAAGGGAGAAACACACGGTGTTACAAAATGGGAGATACTCTGCTAAGCAATACTACATGCAAGAAGGAACTTGAATATTTTAGATCAAAGGTAAATTTGAGGCAAAAATAAGCTGCAAAAAAGAAAAAAAAAGGCAAATGCTATTTTAGGCCGCATTAACTGAAGTTTATTCTCCAAATCCCACAAAGGACTAGTTCCCTCTGTTCTGCACTGGATGTCTCATCTTGAGTACTGTATCTAGTTCTGGAGATATTCTCCAAATCCCATGAAGGACTAGTTCCCTCTGTTCTGTTCTGCACTGGATGTCTCGTCTTGAGTACTGTATCTAGTTCTGGACACTGCAATTTAGGAAGGATTCAGATAAACTAGAGTAAGTTCAGAGGAGGACAACAAGATTGATTAGGGGACGGAAACCAAGCCTTATGAGGAAAGACTGAAAGAACTAGACATGTCCAGCCTTGAGAAAGGAAGACTGAGGGGAGATATGATAGCATTCTTCAAATACTTGAAAGATTGTCATACAAAGGAAGGGCAGGATTTGTTCTCAATCATTTCAAAATGCAGGACATGTACTAATGGGCCGAAGTTATAAGAAGCCAGATTTTGGTTGAATAGCAGGAAAAACTTTGTAACTGTTAGACCAGTACGACAATGGTGCCTATTACTTTAGGAGGAGGTGAGTGCTGCAGTGTTGGAGGCAGTCAAGAGAAAATTAGACAACCATCTGTCAGATATAATTTGATCTGGATTCCTGCATTGTGCAGGGGTTTGGACTTGATGGCCCTTCCAACTCCAATCATTCTATGATTCTATGAAAGGTTCAATTATCGCTACAGCAGTTGGCTTGCTGCTAACATGGCTTCTGCCATATTAAGAACACAGGCGTATTATGTATTTCTAATTTTTCTAAACTAATGAACCTGTGCTGCAACCACATTTGTGTAAATTGGCCTTACTCCATGGTTGTTAAAGACCATGAGAAGGCCTTGTGAAGAACAGATTCACCGTATTAAACTCAAAAGAATGTGAATGAGACGTCTTGTAGATTAAAAAAAGAGACATTGCTAGGAAAGGATACAAAGAGATGAAACTCTTAAAATGGCTAACAACAGACACAAAGCAAAAAAATAAAAGGTGACAGGGATTGGGTCAGAATTAGGGATATGCCCTATCTGAAGATAAATGTACAAATATGGACCAAAGAATGTGCCCAATGGAGGCCATGTAGTGGAGCAACACCCATCACTGATGCCTCATGTTAAATCCAACTTTTGTGGGGTTAAAAATATTAAAATAATAGTTTTTAAAGTATGTAATTAAAAGGGAGGAAAGGGAGATTTAAAGTATCAATACCTAATGGAAGAGAGCCTAGGCCACTGGTTCTTAACCTTGGGTTACTCAGGAGTTTTGGACTGCAGCTCCCAGAAGCCTTCACCACCAGCTGTCCTGACTGGGGTTTCTGGGAGTTGCAGTTCAAAAGCATCCGAGTAACAAAGGTTAAGAACCACTGGCCTAGGCCAAAGACAAATAAGGAGACTTGACAGCTTCCTCTGCCCACACCTTAGTGAAGCTCAGGACCTCTTCTGCTCCCTGCAGTTGCTGGGGGGATCCCTGAGTGAAGCAGCCAGCGGAAGCAGCCACTCTTTCTGTAGGTTTTTTTAAAGCTACATTACAAAATGAGGGACTGCTATCAGTGTAAGCGTATCACTTGGGCTCTACATTCTAAATTTTTCTCTCCCTCCCCGCCCCCTTTTGTTTAAAAACATGGTTACCCTGAGGACAGAGTGTACATGCATGGGCATATTCACTTGCTAGACTTTGAGAAGTTCAACGTAGAACCCCACTAGGGTTTGTTTTCCTCCCCTTTGGTCCCCTTTGGTTTCTCTTTCTGGATGGATATTATCTTTGCTTTGCTTACCTGGTCTCTGTGTACAGATGCAAAAATGAGATAATTAAGAAAGCAGACTAGGGAAGGACTGATTCATTCCGAATGTAGTGGTTAGTTGAATGTTTTACGGATGTGAAGGAATGTCAGACAGAGTGGACTCTAGAACTAATGAAACTTGAAGTTCTGTTAGAAGCTAAACCACTAAGTTAACCACTATCAAGAGAAGACAAGGCTTGCTGGAAAAGACAGCAATGCTAGGAAGAGTGGAAGTTAATAGGAAAAGAGGAAAATTGAATATAGGATGGATTAACTCAATAAAGGAAGCCAATGATTTTACAAAAACTGAGTGATGTTACCTTTCATGGGGGTTCATTAATTTGTAAAGTTTTCATAAATCAAAAATGATTTGATGGCACATTAACAACAACAACTAGGTACGCACAGGTGAAGTGTGGGTATCCTCATAAAAGAAACAATGAGCTTGTATTGACTGGGAGCTTGGCTGCCCTTGTTTCTGTCCCAGAACTGGGCTCTTGTTAACAAACGATTCCTTAAAAGGCTAGCAGTTGCAGAGATGCTGTGGGTCTTATCTCCCAGGACAGCCGCTTCTTTGGAGATACTGTATTTATAGCTCTTCTGGCAAATGAACTCTTGTCGGCCTAATTGCTAAATACATAGTTTGGGTAATCCAATAAAGCAGTTAGTCTGCCTGCCTGCCTTTGTCTCTCTTCATTCCTTGGTTGGAAGACCCAGCTGTACTCCAGCAAGGTAAGAGCGAAGGAAGGTCTGCGTTGGTTTTCAGCCTCTCTTTTTCAATCCTGTCATAGTATTTCAAGGAGACTAGGTCTTTGTCTTGAGGTAATGCTGGGGCTTTCCTTCCGTTTTCTCTAAAAAGGATGCCAATGTCAAGAATGTGCTCCAGAGATAGGCCAGGAGATCAAGAGGGGATGCTCCGTTTCCCCCGTGGTGGACCTTTATAGGCTTTTATGTTACTGAAATGCCAAGCCAAAGGTTCTTCTTTGCTGCACACACAGAAGGAGAATGAAGCGCCATTGTGCAGTGCAAGCCAGTCCTAGGCAGGTCTGTCAGGCAGACAAAAAAATCAGCAGTGTTTGTGATGGGGTAGCTGTGCTACAAGCTGCAGCCCTAGTTACTTGCCTTGGGAAAAAAAAACATCTTCTTCAACATAACCAGTGGCAGCATCTTCTGTATCACCAATTTGTCTGTCAAATAGGGTGGTCCGATATAATATAAGAGTCAGGATACAGATGCCTACAGGTCTCATGTCTGGACAGGGAAAAGCTTATTTGATTTTTTTTTGTTGTTGTTTTCCTCAAGCTGCAGCCCTAGTTACTTGCCTTGGGAAAAAAAAACATCTTCTTCAACATAACCAGTGGCAGCATCTTCTGTATCACCAATTTGTCTGTCAAATAGGGTGGTCCGATATAATATAAGAGTCAGGATACAGATGCCTACAGGTCTCATGTCTGGACAGGGAAAAGCTTATTTGATTTTTTTTTGTTGTTGTTTTCCTTGTGGCATTTTGAGTGGGGCTCCACATTTAATGAACTGCCTGTTTTCTTCTTAGGGTCCCAATCCTTTTCCTTGAATAATTTCAGCTGTAGCTCTATGAATGCTTACTTGTGGGCTCCAGCCTCTTGAACTTACTACGAGTTTCCTTACCTCTTTAAACAAGGAAACAAGCAAAGGATTAGGCTGTTGCTTTGACTGTATAAAAGCTATAATAATTGTCTTAGGAGAAATGCGCTGAAATAGTTTGAATTTCCCCTTTGCCGCTAGTTGTTTGGAAACCGGGAAACTGAAAGTGAACACATACCTGCATAGCCTTCTCTTGGGTTTTAGAAGATGATCCTGGTCATATAGAAGTAGTGGATGCTACACTAAAGGAGAGGACCAGAACACCACTGATCTCTGCATGACTTGTGACAGGAGAAGACTTGGTCATAATCACCGTGCAAAGTAGCATTAGCAGCTGTCAAACACCCACTAGAAAGCGTTCGTCATGCTGAACTGCCTTTTAAAATGATCTCAAGGAGTGCTATGTTTCAGTGGCAAAGCATGTTTACATGAGGGAGTTAGAGCAATTGTACCCACAGAATGTAAATTAACATGGTGGTTGTCTTGATGTGCAATATATACTATAGTCCTAGGGCCAAGGATTTCTGGATGGGAAAAGATGGTTACTCCAGTTCTAGACATCAATATTAAACTTAATGTTTTCCAGATCTTCACGCCTGATCAAGAGTTAAACAATCATCTCTTGAAGTCATTCCATGGAGATTGCTAATGTTACACCTAATTTGTGTCTGATCTGTGAACCAAATTTAATTCCTTTCACTTGCATATAGAAAGCTAGCTTTTCCAAAGTAATAGTTGTATGCTAGCTTTCTCTTCGAAAGCTCCAATGTCCTACAGGCAAGATAGGGGATGTTTCTATGATGGGCCTTTTCTAAATTAACCAAATAGATCTTTATTCACATTTCTTTTTTGCTTCATTTTGCTTTGCTTCTATGGTGCTTTGTAGTTCATCTCAAGTGCTTTGTGCTTATAGGGGGGAAAATGAATGATTCTGTCTCTAGACATGTTCTACGCTGAGCTCCTACAGCATAAATCCAAACTCCACTTCAACAGTATCAGTTTGCCAGACATGGCTGATTAGTGGAACGAAACCTGGCTGAGCCATTTTCACGGTTCACGGGTTTAAGAAATGAAGTATGAATGAAGATGGCTGCTTTCCCATTTATTAGAAAAATATGATGATGACATCAGTCTATTCATGGGCTGCTCTTCTGTTATTGCAACCGGAGCAGCTTAGAGCAGGCAGTGGCATTTTTGTCAAACCTTAGGTTTTGTTTGCATCAGTGGTTATTACAGCAAATACATGAAGTGTGGAAATAAAACTAATAAATAAATACATAAAATCTGCATGTGCCTACACCTGGGAGAGGTGACTAGATTTTTACCTTCAAACTTAATACATTTGCTGCTGAGCCACCATTGTAAGTAAGATGAGCAGTGCTAGAAGGTTAAATTAAGCACTGTGGTACCGCTGGTCACTTTAGATCTTGGACTTAGAGGTCTTTCTGGTGGAGGGGGGGATCCTTTAAGAGTCCACGTGTATTGTTTCAGCTGGGAAGCACAAAAATAGCGGCCTTGTCTTGCCCATCATTCCACTGCAACTCCATGCCTTACAATTACTTCTACCTTTTGGAAATGCTAGAGAAGAAGGAGCAAACAGACCCCTCTGCCAACATTGCTTTTGAAATAAGAAAGGAATGGACAGAAATACGTACTCTAGCCATGTGCAATTTTGGATTGTAAAGTCAATTACTGATAACATCCACCATGGGTACAGGGATAATGGGGTTTGCTTCAATGCTTACACAGGAGTAAACACAAATTTGTCATTATATAACATAAACAATTTTTAATTTTTTTTAAAAAAAGGAGTATCAGTGAACCTGTGCATGCCAGGTTGCTCCCTCCTGAATATAAAATGTTTTAAAGCATGGGGAGAGAAAGGATGGGGTGGTAACCTGTTTCAGATCCGTGGGTGCTGGTGCACTCATTGTAGCCCTCAGGTGGGCACTTGTCCTCCTTGCCACTACTTGTTAATGGGAGAGGGGACTTAATCAGGGGGCTCTCTGAACTGCAGGGCCCCAAATACCTGCCCTGAGGCCCCTCTCCAGTAGTATTACCAACTGAGGGTTTTTGTATGTAAGACTTACCTCAATGTTGGCCTTTCTCGCACTGTTTCACCTTGTCAACAGGGGATGGCTAGTGGAAACAAGATGTTTGGATCTTGTACAAATTGCCATATGTTGATTTTACACCCACACTACACATTTTAACCCTAGTAAGTAGAGGTGCCCAATCTACTAAATCCATTAACTGTGCATTGTTCAAAAGATACAGTACTTTAACATCAAATTAGAAATTAAGGGGACTACTCTTCCAGAGGACTAATCCATTTTCCCTTCCCGGTATAATTTATTCAGAAACACATGCCTCTGCTGTCAATCATGCAAATTAAGTCCATGTTTGCCTTCTTGTGTACTTTACTAGTTACAAAGTAAAGTATACTGAATGCAAGATAATGCAAGTGGGTAGAAGGGCATGCTGTTTCAGGCAGATGCGTTTCACCATGTCGGGGAATGCCTCTTCTAAAAACATGCTAAACATGCCAGGTCCTTAACAGTCAAACTAAGAAATAAGCTGAGTAGTGAAATATATTTTATTGACATAGTATATTGTGTTCTCCACTTACACATGTAATGTCTTTGTTTTGTGATTGCTCACAGGATGATAAACAGGGACTTAATTTGTGGATCTGACCAATGAGACACACATCCCTCAGGAAATCCAGTTGTGCAAGGGGAAATGGGTTGATTATAGGAAGCATGCATTCTGCTTAACATCTAGTTTGCCTGTAAATCTAATCCCAGAACAACATCAGCACCAACAGCATCCAGCATTGTAATGCAACTGCTGGGGAAAGAATGCCTAGCAGAGTCCAACGCTGTCACTGGTCCTGGTTTGCCCACATCCTGCTGAACCTGTAAGCTGCCTGCCACAGAACGCAGGCCTTGCATGGCTGCCCACCACTGGTAAGTTGACAAGTCGGGAATTCTGACCCTTGAATATGTACCTAAAAGCCCTACAAAACTTTATAGACCTCTAGGGTAAAATCAGAACCCTGTGTTTGTCACAGCTGGTATCTATCCCAATTAAGGCTTAATTCCAGAAATGAAACCAAACAATCATCAGCAATCACATCACAATTCATCTGAGTATCAAGATACGTCTCTTCACTGTTGTAATAAATTCAAGTAACATAGACTTGTCAAATTCTACAAGCTTTATTTATCTATGTTGCTTCTATGTACCATAAGCACAAAAATAAAATCCCAAATGTTCAAAACATCCAAAAGTTTTACAGCTATGGAAAACTGTAGGCACAAATGCTTAAGAAATATATGAAAACTAAAGTTTCCTTGTAGGCAGATACTTAAGTCAGAAAAACATATTTGAGTTGTAAGCTTTTTGCTATAAAAGTTATAGACAAGAACTTAAATTATATTCGAATCCAAAAGTAAAAGAGCTTATATCCTAAAAGAGGCTTGTTTTGGCCGTACCAGTTGCCCTCATGTCAACAGCACTTTCCCATGTAACTTGGATTAAATAACAGTGTCTGAAATCCCACATTTCCAAAGCGGTCTGTGGCCGAGAAAAAAAATATAAGAATCACGGCAAAAGGAAAAACACTTGCACTGCGTTGTGAAAAGAGGAGCTAAATTGTCTGTTGTTTGTTCTGAAAATTATTTCTGCTCTATGTTTCCACACTTTTTTAAAAGGAACGTTACTTTTCATATATATTTTGTAGACGAAACAAATCATGCTGCATTTTCAGAACTGATGTGAGGTAATTTTCCTCCTCTCTCTTCTGTTAGAAAAAAGCACTAGGATGTTTCTTCTACCTTGATCTGAAATACTGTATATGCCGCACTGAGGAGGGAAAAGGCTGTAAAATTGCTATTTTATGAAGAATGTGGAAGATTTCAAGTATTTATGTTGTTTACAGTTTGCGTTCCCTCTGTGAGTGCTAAAGCATTTGAATTTGTGTGTGTGTGTGTGTGTGTGTGTGTGTGTGTTTGTGTTTCAAGGCTGCGATAAACATTTTTCTTTGTGCAGCCATTATCTCAAAGGAGCAATCACTTACTTGAAATTTTGCTAAATTAATTTGGATT